CCACCTTATTTCTACATCACTTTTAATCATTCCTCTCACAAAATAGAAAAGCCAGATAGGAGTAAAGCAACCCTGACATGAATAGGAAGCTTAGCAAGAAAAGGGAGGCCCTTGCACCAGGAGGCAAGGCTGGCACATAACACTCTGGACTCAGGTGCACAAAGGACCAACAGAAAGGTAGCAGGGAAAAGCCAGAAGGAAGACTTAAGTACTCTCAGTTCACTGTTTGAAAAATTCTGCTCTTTCAAAATTTATATTTACTATATAGCATCTGACCAAGACCAAAGAAATAAACTACCCTCACAAAATTTTAGTAATCTAAATAAAGGTATAATATTCTGAAAACATATAGTTAATATGGTGTAAATGTCTTATAAATGACCACATCAAGAACAAAACTACTTAAACAACATCAAACTTTGGACTTTTTGTTTGAAGTTCAAGGGATCAAACCCAGGGCTTTGAGCACTGCCAGACAAGCTCTCTAACACAGAGCTATACCACTTGCCCAACAATGTAAAATGCTGCTTTATAATTTAAATGACTTCTAATATTTGGAATTTGCCTTTCCAAAAGGCAAAGTTTTTTCTTTTGGTACTGGGGATAAAACTCGGGACCTTGCATTTGCGAGGCAGGCAGCAGAACTAAATGCCCAGCCCAAAGAATTTTAAATCTTATTCTTTTTTGATAGCAGGTATCGAACTCAGGACCTTGCACTTATAAGGCACGCAGCGGCACCACTGAGCTAAATCCCCAGCCCAAAAAATCTTATATTCTTGTTGGGAGCAGTGGGGCATGGCTTTAATCCCAGCACTAGGGAGGCTAGGGCAGGAGGAAAGAAAGTTCAAGCCCAGCCTGGGCAATATAATTACTTGCCAAGATCCCAGCTCAAAAATTAAAATGGGCCAGGAATGTGGCTCAGTGTGAAGGCCCTGGATTCAATCCCCAGTACCACCACCCAAAAGAAACACACACACACACACACACACACACACACACACACACACACACTTAAAATATATAAATTAAGATTTCAATTTAGTTTAAGACAAATAGTGTATAAAAGTATAGATCTCCTGATGGCTAATATTAAATACTCATCAGTATGTCACTGTTGAAAAAGAATCACTGGGTTGAGTGAAACATGGCTCACTAGTGAAGTGCTTGCCTAATGTGCAGTAGGCCCTTGGTTCAAGCTCAGCATCACCAAAAGCAAAATCATTAAATCAGTCAAATCATTAAATATTTGACTGACTTCTGAAATAGCTTCTCAGGAAATATAATCAGGTGGTTCCCACTGCTGGAATAACAGGCCGAATCTGTTAATACTAGTCATCTGCTACAGCAGCTTAAATGCCATGTCCTCTCAATAAGAAGGCCTTCAGGCAGGCACTGAATCTGATTCATCATTTATCAATGAAGCTTAGTATTATGCTTGGTACTCAGTAGGTTCAAAGGAAACTCAAATGGGGCAGGGAGTATAACCAGATCTTCCATGATTTTATTTACCTCATTTCTTCTAAACTTGCATGCCCTAATTGTAAGAAGATAATTCCATTTCACCTTTAATATTTTCTTGAGTCTATGTTTTAAAAAACTTGTTAGTGTCAGGTGTGGTGGCACACACCTATAATCCTGGCACTCAGAAGGCTGAGACAGGAGGATAGCTGTGAGTTCAAGACCAGCCTGGGCTACACAGTGAGTTCCACGGCAGTCTCAACTACATAGTGAGACCCTGCTGTCTCAAAAAATCAAGGAAAAAAAAAACTTGTTAGCATATTTTCACCCAGGTTACAAGGAGCAGTCCACTAAAACCTGGACAAACTTCATTCTTCCACTGGGCTCATGTATACCCAAGAAGATCTGCTTTGGCTACTACACAGCCAATATATGCCACATACAGAAAAAGAAGGTCTCAGACCACCCATATTGACCAAAGAATATTTCCAAGGTCCAGAATCTTATCAATGAGATTTGATTCCATAGCTCCTTTCTGGCTAAATTCCCCAAAGAGGGCATGGTTTCCTCTCAGTAAGCCTACCTTAAATACAGAACACTGATGAGTAATAGAACTACAATGTCAACTCTTTCGTTTAATTTTGTTTAATTTGAGTTGGGTTTATTTAAACAGGGTCTCACTATGTAGTTCAAGTTGGCCTTGAACTCACTACGCAGCCCAGGCTGTCCTCAAACTCACAAAGATCCTCCTGCCTCAGTGTCCCCAATGCTGGAATCACAGGCATGTGCCACCATGTCTAGCTTAGAGAACTACTATACAAACTCTTAAGGCTTCCAAGATACTTAGGATAAACCAGAATATACCTACATTAATTCCCTTCTCTCCTACTCTCTCTCCTTTTTTTTTTTTTTTTTCCATTTTTTGAGACAGGGTCTCACTATGTAGTTGAGACTGACTTGGAACTCACTATGTAGCCCAGGCTGGTCTTGACCTCACAGCGATCCTCCTGCCTCAGCCTCCCAAGTGCTGGGATAACAGGCATGCGCCACCATGCCTGGCTGTATCTCTTTTAATTTAGTGACTCAGTGAGACCTTGCCTCAAAGATTTTTTAGGAAGGGGTGGGATGTAGCTCAGCTCAGTGTAAAGGCCCTGGGCCCTGGACATAAAAATAAAAACACAACATAAAATTAACTTTACACTATTGTATAAGCTACATATAAAACATAAATATATTTTGTGTTTAAACTTAGGTTTCACCCATAAGGTATCTTAAAACATATATGTAAATATTCCAAAATCTGAAAAAAAAATCAGAAATCAAAAACAAAATGGAAGGAGGGCAAAGACAGGAGAAAAAGAGGCTGTACAAAGAATTAAGATGTGTTATAGCCAGGCATGGTGGCACATGCCTGAAATCCCAGCACCTGTGTAGCTGAGGCAGGAGGATCACTGCAGGTTCAAGGAAGACCTGGGTTACATAGTGAGTCCAAAGCCAGCCTAAACTACAAAGCAAGACCCTGTCTCCAAAGCAAATAAAAAAACTAAGATGTATTACGTACATGTACCAACTTCACATGAGAATATAATCAATATGTACTACAAACATGTACTAATAAAAATTAAAACTGCTGGATGTAGTGGCACATATAAATCCAAGCACTCTGGAGGCTAAGGCAGGAGGATTTCTGAGTTTGAGGCTAGCCTAGGCTACATAGTGAGTTCAAGGCCAGCCTGATCTATATAGTGAGACCCTGTATCAAAAATAAAATAAATTTTTAATTTTAATTTTTTAAAAAACACTAATATTTAAATTAAACAAAAAATAAAAATAAAATAAACAAAAGCACTAGACTGGGAAAAAAAAAATCCATGGAAATGGTTTCAGGAAAACCTCATCAACTACTTTGACCTAGTTGACAGATACAGAACAAATACATGAAATAGTAAAACACATTCTTTTCAGGTACATAAGGAAGACTGACCAAGATATCAGTAGTTAATAGGCAATGTTTTGTGTCTCAAGAAATTCACAAAGTCTGAACCACAGGGTATGTTTTCAGATCATGAAGAAATTGCACCAGAAAATAGTAACATGGGGTGGTGGTAAATTAAAAAAAAAAACAAAAACAGTAACAATAGCTGTAGAGGTTGAGGCAGGAGGACTGCTGGGAATTCAAGGCCCACCTGGGCTACACAGCAAGACCCTGTCTCAAAAAGGAAGGAAGAAAAAAAAAAAAAAAACAATAAAAATTTCAAACACAAATGAAAGAGTGGATAAAAGTACATGTACTCACCACAATGAATACAATCATTATGAACTGCAAATGTGTAATAATAAAATGAGAAATATACAACATGTTACCAAGATATATAGCTCAGTAGTTCCATCCCAGCACCAAAATAAGCAAAGAAGATGAAGGTTAAGACAAAGACGAAGGAAGAAAAAAAAAAAAAACAGCAAAATCTACAGGATGCAGCTAATATAGTTCTTCATAGGAAATTCAAAACCTTAATTATTTATATTAGAAAGTACAAAAAATCTAAAATCACTGAGATAAGGGTCTAGAAAACCTCAAAAAAAGTCAAAACAAATCAACAATTGGAGGCAGGATAATGTGCTAGGAACCTATTGTAGGGTCTTCACATTGAGCTGTATCCGCAACCCATTCTTCAATATTTTATTTTGAGATAGAGTCTTGCTAAATTGATAAATTTCTTAGGCTGGGCTTAAATTGCAATCTGCCTACTTCAGCCTCCCAGGGTTCTAGGACTACCACACCTAGCTTCAACAACATTTTTAAAAGGCAAACAATAAATTCAAATGAAAGGTCAGTTCTTTAAAATCATCAACAAAATTGATAAATCCTTAGCCATAACAACGAAAAAATAATGAGAGGGCTGGGGATTTAGTTCAGTGGCACTGAACCTGCCTCAAAAACACGAAGTTCTGAGTTCAATCACTGGTAAGGGGGGCGGGGGGAGGGTGAACACAAATTACCAAAATCAGAACTGAAAAAGGGATAGCATTAACATAATTAAAATAAGGTATTAGCTGGGCACAGTGACTCAGTGCTGTAATACCAGCACTCTGAGAGGCTGACGTAGGAGAGCCACAAGTTCGAGTCCAGTTTGGGCAACCTAGCAAGTCAATGAAACCCTATCTCAAAATATTTTTTTAAAGTTTGGGAATGTTGCTCAGTGTAAAGACTATGGGTTCCATTCCCAGGACTGCAAAATTATTTAATTACACATATTTTTAAAATAAGATTAATAAGGGCCAGGTATTTGGCTGAAGTGGGTCTGCCACCTGCCTGACAAGCACAAGGGCCAGAGTTCTATCTCCGGCACCAAAATTTAAAAAAAAAAATAAGATTAATAAAAAGTGAAAAAATCATTAGAAAAGTTTTTTCCTTTAGTTCACAATCAAAGAAAAAACATTATGCATATACATG